ACAGCTGGCTTCAGGCAAGGTCGGAAGGGTTTGCCGAAGTGATTCGGCCTGGAGATTCTCTTGACTCTTCACGTCTCTTTAAAGGCGGATTAAGTGATGCAGGGTGTCAGCCGCAACAACCAGAGCGGTTTGCCAGACCCGGATCATGCAACTCCCGAGTGCCAACTGGGATATGGATGCTCTTGGCACCACAACTGAAAGTCCATGAAAACCCACAGAGAAAACATCCACCGACCCAACTTAGAACAGATCATGCGCGCCCCGATCCCGCCACAACTCCAGGACCCGGAAGCCCAAATTGCACAGTGAGTGAGGCTTGGATGCTGCGCTGGCCTCCTCCCTGGAGAAACGGGCAGAAGTCTCATCCCAAGAACCGTATACATGTTGCGCATGCCACTGTAGGAGGGGTGTGAGTCCTTTGACTCGTCTTGACTGGACAGGGGTTTTGCAGATCGGCCACTATCTTCCTGAGGGCTAAGGACCTCGTAGCCTGAACTCTTTGACTTTAGCTGCATCGCATGGAACTGGACGAAGCTTTTGCAGGGTTGTATGGTGATGAAGCCAGTGGGTCCCACGGCCCACGGTTAAATACGCCCCTGCGTTCCGCTGCATCAACCGTCGAGGTGCAGCATCAAGTACATGACGCAGACACGTGCAGGGTCCTCAGGCGTTTGCTGAACTGTCAGCTGTCGAGCAGCTTCGCCCTGAGGCCAGGCCACCGACGTTTGTCCTGTGGACGAACTCCGCCTACGGTGAGTTTCCCAAGAGTCTTTGCTGGCAGAGTTTCGGGGTTCGGATTTTCTTGACCTAGACCTCATGCTCGCTGACAGCTTCTGGTCAATCCGAGGAACTACATCAGGCAAATGCAGAATGCGATGCGGGACGAGTTCAGAATAAGCCGCTTGAGTCCAAAGCTTGGGATTTTTTTGAGGGGGATCATTGTGGAACCGTCGGAACATCACGGATGTCCGGGTAGTATTCTTGTAGGGGTGCATGTGCATGCCACTCGCAGATGTGGTTTTCTGATGTTGCTTTATAGTTTTTGGGCAAGCATCTTTGAAGGCGAACACAGCATTGAGCCCAGAGAGCTCCGCTTGACCTGAAGGCCCCGAACCCAAGGCCCAAGAAGCTCGCCTCTACCGCACAAGAGCCGACTGCAAGGCGGCGTGCCGCTTAGTTTCAACATCCGCTCCACTTTGATGCCAAAGCCGCGCAAGAAGCTTTCGAAGATGCTCGGCCAACAGAGTTTGCCAGAGAGATGGCCAAGATATGCCGACTGGTGCAGTGCCTCTCGGTGTATTATTGGTGCCTGTTCCAGGGCTCTTTGACTGGAATGCAGAGTGAGATGATCGCAGAGAGGAAGCTTGAACCAACCTGTGCTCCACCCGTCACTGAGGAAAGACATACTGAAGTGGAAGCGCATGGGCCCAAAGCAGGCACCTTTTGGATGTCCGCCACAAAGGTTGCAGGACAATCTGCCACTTGTTGGCAATGTTGCTGTCCTGCACAGGCGAAGGTTGCTGAAAATCTCAACTCCAAAAAGCTACTGGCTCAGGGCTCTGCCAATACTTCTTCGGAGCTTAGAACTTCGTGCGGCGAGTCTCCCAGAATCACTTTTTGTTCCAGACTCGCGGCCGTTTGTTGCCCAGGATGCCGAGGCCCCTGCGGCAGATCGACTGAGCTATCCCACGGGCAAGGAAGCAGTTTGCCACAGGTTTGCCTGGTGACCCAGTCGGTGTAGTAGGGCGTAGATTGTAGGTTAGAGGTCGGCGACAGCGGTGCGCACGACTTGTTGCTTGTTGCAAGCAAGCGCCAGTGCCGGTGAAGGCAAAATGAGGCGGTCATGGGGAATTCACGAATCAGTTGTTTCTTCAGGTGACAAAGGCCTTTGAGACCAGTCGTTCCATGGCAATTGCCGCTAGAGGAAACTGCGAAATGCAGACATCTCAAACAGGGAGGGCCACCAGGAATGGGAAGGCCACTTCAGCAAGTAAACTGAATGAAAGAGCACGTCAGCATTTCCACTGTTCAGCTCGGTTTTGTAACCTTCAGCCTGGCGAACCATGGCGGCCCTGGGTGCTTGCCTGGCAAATGGCCCCACCTTGTAGCTTCAGATGCAGCCTGGTGCCCTGGCACCACGGAGAGACGAGGAACTCGGTTTTCAGTACGTCGCACGTCCGGTATTCTTTGGTCAAAGGTGTCTCAAGTTCCCATCGCTGCGGTAAAGTCGTTTAAGGACTCAATTTCTGTCAATCAGAAGCCCGAATGTATCTAAAATGTCGAGTTGACACTTCTGTGGACCCGAGCCCCTTCCAGACCCTCCCGAGACGTCGGAGCTTTGGGATTTGCAGCGCCGCGCGCACCAAGCAGCGCAGCGAGGACTTTGCCCCGACCTTCCCGAGGACCCTCAGCTTTTCAGCACCAGGCTCCGATGTGCCCCACCGTTTGCCTGGGAGAGGCTTGGCGGTGAGACGCTAGCCCTTGTAGCATTTCTGCGTTCGCACTCGAGGGCCGAAGCTAGTTCACTTCCTGTACACCATGACCTGTATTCAATTCCTTATTGAAGGACGAGCACAGTTCGTGCCCTCGACAGGTTACTCCGAGAGTCGGGAGTGATTTCCTCCAGCCTGTGCAGGATCACCCCTACGTCGTGCGCAACGTGTCTTCCTTTCTGGGCAGAGGCCACTGGACTCGGACTGGTGCTCGGGTTCAGGGTTTTTTCAGGTTCCCAACCAAGCTTTTGAGTCAAACCACGGCTTTCCAGCTAGAGTCGCGGGAGCTTTGCCAGCTGTTCCACGTCTCCTGCGCTGACACACAAGTGCGCAAAGGAACAGCTGAAGCCGGCTTCATGAGGCTGAAATCGTGAGGAGCTTTGGCTGTGTTCTCCTGTGTCAGCAATTGTTGAGACTGAGCTATCCAGCAAGCCCACTTCCGAACCAGACTGGTGCATCCACCACTTGACACAAATAGTTGGTGCAAGACACCAACATGCTCCTGGCACCCCCTGCTTGCAAGACTTTACATTCGCCCTTTGGAAGTGGTGTTGACACACACACACACACACACGCAAGAAGGCAAGCCAAGAAAACAGGCACCAAGCAAGGATTTGTGCACCATTGTGCTAGATACTTCTGGACATGATACCGTATGTTGCAACTGCGGCATCTGAACCCAAGGCTTTCCAGGTGCAGATCAGGCCATCTACGAGGAGCTGGCAGCTGCCGAGGCCTCCGTGCTCAGAGCACGTGCTGCCTTGCGGCAGACCGTACCGAAGGAGGTGCTGCAGGCGCTGCCGACCCGCTCTTGCGAATCTGTGCTCGATGCAGTGAATGCTTCGCCAGCTTGAAGGCCTGCGAGTTGGACGTGCAAAATGCTGCCCTCAAAGTGCACGCCATCCGCGAGACATCTTTGCAGAGTTCAGCACTTGCATGGATTCACGGACGGGTACAAGTAGTTGCCGAAGAACTGATGGAAGACATCGCCGCCCGGCTTTCGCAGTATGGAGATCGGTCCGGAGCTGCTTCTTGCACAGTGCAGCCTTCCTGCGCACAGCGAAGAATCATCGAATACCCTCACAGTCTTTTTCTTCAGGGTCGCTCTGGCACTGGCAAAACGGTTTGCATTATTCACCGCATCCTGCGTGCACGCCACCAGTTCCCTTTTGCACAGCGCCTCTTCGTCACTCGGTCGTCGTTGCTTTGCGCACAGGCCGGTTCGTTGCGAACACTGCTGCCATATCCAGTTGCTCCATGTTGCTGCACAAGCCCACAGGTGTTGGAGCAGCTAGCGGTTTTCGGCAGTGCATCTCGTGATGCTGCTCTTCTACATGGCAGCAGTGGCGGTACACCTGTCTGCACCTGGCCAGCAAGTCTGCCTTGTGGTCTTACCGGTACTTGTCTGTGTAGCTTGCTCGGCCGACAACCCAAGCCCGGCTGCAAAAACGCCGGTAAGCCCACAAAAAACAAGAAGTACTAACCTCTCCAGGCTCCAGGGCCGGAATGCCGCAGGTGTGACCTGAGACGAGTTGGTTCAGGCATTGGTCCCGGAGGCGCAGCCGGCCATTCAATACTCAGGCTTCTTGAGTCGCTTCTGGCCAAACCTGAAACCTCCACCAGACTTGGATCCACTCTTGGCTCCCTGGCCTGTGAGTTCATGCTGTAGCGCGGTCTCTTTCCTGTCTCCAAGACGATCCCTTGACCTGAAAAACCGATGGCTCCTAGGTTTGGGCAGAGTTCCATAACAGGCTGCGGAGCTTTGATGCCGCCGTCTTGCACAGCCTCAAGGGCCTCGGGCCAGTCTCCTTCGCAGAGTACCAAGAGCTGCTTGCGCTCATTTCGGCTCTTACTGTCGTCTTCGGAAGGCCTTCCACACAATTCTTACGATCACACAGGTCGTTGTGGAGGCAAGAGGAATGTAGGTGTCAAGAGGTTCCTGGCACTGCTGATCTATAGCCATCCTGCAAATCAGCGCATGAGGAAGAAGACGCTGGACAGCACTGGTGGCTACTCTCTCACTCAAGAGCAGTATTGCGAAGCTGTTGCAGGCCGTGCGGCTTCTTGATGCAGCATGAACAGGGTCACCACTCTTCGGTTCGGCATGGCTAACTGTGAACCGAATCTGATGTATGCTTGGTTCGATTCGCGCGGTTCGGTTCGGCAGTTTCGACTTTCCGTTTGTGCAGTGTTTGCGCATGTCCGGCAGGGTCTAGTATGCGGCTCCTGCTAGCTAGGACACCACTGGCACGGCAGTACAACTGCAGAGCCCATGCAGTCCATGCTTGGAGCAAGGAGTAGTATGCATCTTCTGCAAGTTCCAGCTGCACAACTTTTCGTGATTTTTGGGGGGATTGGCTTCTGCTGGCTTTGAGGTGACGGAGCCCAGGGCCTGAAATGCCGAAAACCTGAACTCTGCGGAGTTTTGCAGCTTCCGCTTCTTTGCTAATTACTCTACTGCTGGTTGCAGCGTTTTGTGTTGGCTTCGCAGGTGAGGGCTTGTCTGCAATGGGGGTGCCTCTTCCACCGCAGCAGCGGCGGGAGATCTACCGCACCACAGCTCCAAGTCACCCTAAGGAGGCTTTGACATGGGCGAGGCTGTTTCTGCTTTTTGAGGTGCCTTCCAGATTTCGGACGTTGCCTATCTTCAGCAAAGGGCTCCCGGAATTATTGGTTTGCCAACCTGAAAGGAGTCAAAAAAAACTACACTTCAGTCTAGAACTAGAACACGGACCGATAAGTTTTGTGAGAGAGCCGAAGCGATTTTGCAGACTGGACGGGGCCGGAGCTCATCACTCTCAGGTATGTTTCTGGAGTACTTGCGCCTAAAGCAAACGTACAAAGTCTCCGATGGCACCGATGTGGCCGTGGCACTTCGAAATGCTGGCGTGGGAGCGCTCCACGGCGAGGGACAACGAACTTGTTCCAAGAGGTTTTGCGCACGGGTGACGGATGTTGAAGTAGGCAACGTCTCCACCTCTGGGCCAAGGTCGCCTGCCTTCTTTTGTGAAAGCCGACACTGAGGCTCGTTCACGAGATCTATGTGGACGAAGCTCAGGATTTTTCACCGGCCGAGTTGACTGCTCTCATGTCCTTGTGCGGACATGCCGATGGCGTCACTATTGCGGGTGATACCTGTCAAACGATCAACCCGGGGAGTGCATTCTCATTCCAAGACATTATGGATGCTTTTCTGAGGTTGGAGCCGAAATGCTTTGCAGGACCTACTGATGGTCCTGAAACGGAGGCTGCCAAGTGCTCTTGGGATCATGTTGAGGACTGCCGCCAGATGTCGCTGGCTTTCAACTATCGCTCTGCACCACCCATCGTGCGACTGGCAAATGCGGTCTCAGAGCTGCTACTGCAGATGTTCCCCAACACCGTGGATGCCGTGGAAGAATCTGCCGCTGGCACGCAAGGTGGCGAAGTGCCGCTCTTCGTGCACTCGCATTCTGGACACGATGTTGTGGACATTGTCCCTTGTCCACACCTTCGTTGTGAAGACTGTTCGTGCTTGAGACTCACCAAAATCGGACGGAAATCAGACTTCTTGTGTTTTTCCAGGTGATGGGCACTGGTGACCGCCGCCTCTGTAGCATGGATCCCACGAGCTGCGTTGTGCTGGTTGGTGCGGACTCGGCTCGTCAGCGCCTTCGCCATCTAGGCGACATGCACCTTAAGCCTCAAGTCCTTGAGAGATGTCTGTTGAGCAGCAGCAGCAGCAGCAGCAGCATGTAGCTGAGGCGGTTGTGTTCAAACCGGCTTCCCAAAGTGACGGGCATCGATACCTGGCAACTCTCAACAACGCCATGCAAAAGCACCTAACAAGACACTCTCGCTCGCTCGCTCGCTCGTGCACCACTGCCCAAACCGATACTGATACTAAACGGGAGGCCAGGCCGCAATAGGCGCTGCCCAGTGGCCCTTCAGTGAGTTTAGAACTTCCAAGTTGTTCTCAGAGATCCGCCGCCTGCCGACAGGCCTCAGAAGTACAATTTTGACGGTGGCGGAGGCCAAAGGCCTGGAGTTCGATTTCGTGGTGATTTGCGACTTCTTTCAGGTCTGTGGGGACGGAGCTTCCTGGTATGCCGTAGAGGACTTCCTGAGGGCCAAGACAGCCGAGAAGCGCAGCAAGCGCCCGACACAGGCCCAGCGCGGCATGTCTCATTCTGCCAGGCAGTGGACACCGACCCTGGTCCGGGGTCTGAAGGCACTGTACGTGGCCATCACTCGTTCACGTTGCGGCTGTGCTTTCGTGGAATCGGGCCCAAAGTCACTTTGGGGTCCCCTGGTTGAGTATTGGCAAAGCCGAGACTTGGTCAAGTTTGTGGATGGTGTCTCGGCTTATGCCAAGTTGTCAGGCTGTGATGCCCAAGCTCGGTCAGGCGAGAGTCCCGCAGTTGGGGCAGGCGCAGTCCTCCTCAACTCGGTGCAGCAAGCACTCACTTGGCTGTGGTCGGAACTCCAACTGCGCACTGGGCCGGACCAGAAGAAAGTCCGGAAAGTGTTGGGACAGGAGCGACTGCGGCTGCAGGCCGGACATGCTTTGGATCCCCTGTTCATGCAGCGTTTCGCAGCAGCACACGGAGTTCTCTCTCAAGCGAAGGGGAGCTCGATGTTTGCGGATACTCACGCTGCAACTGCTTCAGCACGCGAGCAAGCTGAAGAAGGGCCATGGCCAGACATCGCGTCTTTGGTGGACGTGCTCCAACGGCGCTCTCCCATGGACAGGACTCATGTTCTCACCTCCAACGTGCGCAGTGGACTCGTTACTAGTTCGTATTCGGCCCACTAAGCTTTTCAGTTTGATAGTCTATTTAGACTGATGCCCACACTGTGGCCCACACTGGGAAGCTGGCCGGAAGCCGATTCTTTCAAGTCTAAAACTGCTTGCCCGGGGGCCGATTAACACAACGCAACTCACGAATGCTGTCTGGCGCATCCAGCATCCAACCGCGGTGGTAGTAGAAGTGGCGTGGTGGAAGTGATAGTGGCGATCGCGGCAGTGGCAGTTGTGGTGGTATCCGTCGTCATCCTGGCCCCTGGCGGTGGTACCTGTACTGTAGTAGCTGCTTGTCTTGAAGGACCAAGAGTGCGATGGCGCTTGACGGTGGCAGTCGTAATTGGCGTTTGCTGTGCACTGGTAATCCGTAGCAGCCGTAGAAGCAGTATAGTGTGGTTCTCTGCGTCGCGGTTGGTAGCAGTAGCTGCAGCTGCATGGGCAAGATCGGAGCAGACACTGCAGTGATTGTCTTTGCCTATGCGGTGGCAGTGCACAGAGGAGGGCGCAAGGAATGGCCACGGCCTCCAGGCAACTCTGGAGACGAGGCCTCCAGCTGCTTGCGCACGCCTCCGACGATTCTTGCCTCAGGGTTTTTCTTTCTTGTTATAATCTCACACTATGTTTTGCGAGAACTCTCCTGAAGCTTTTTTGGATCCCTTCTACAAAAAGTCTGGCACGACCTGGAGCTCCAAGGAAGCCCCCCGAGCTGACGGCTCAGGATTCAGATCAGCGTTGGCAAGTCTATGGTGAGGCCGAGGCCGTTTTCGGTGAGCCTTGGAGAGAGAGAAAGAAAGAAAGGATGTCGTTTGTGCTGAAAACGGTGAAAACGCATCGATTGCAAGTCACATGGGGCCTTGTGGGTCACCGCAGCAAGAAGAACAACTTGCAGCAGCTGCAGAAGAGACCTAGATTTTCTGTGTCTTGTCCTTACTGACGACCATGGATGCAGCATCATGAAAAGCATGTTGGCTACCGGAGGTTCTGGTAATCTTAGGTCCCACCGCACTTGCCCAGGCTGCCGCCTTCAGCAGCGGTCACAGAAGAAAAACAAACCACGCTTTCTGGGCGGATCGACGAGAAGCTCCAGCCAAGACATCTAGGAATCTAGGTGCAAGCCACTCCTGAAGCGGAATCTCTCACGCTTCTTAAACACGAGATGCCCGGAGGTCTCGTACCTGTAGCAATTTCAGCCAAGGAGAGCCTTGTGTGCGCAAGGAAGCTTCTGGATGCGCAACTTTCGCAAAGAGCCAGGCTCTGACTTCATTTGTCTGCGGCTGCAAGGGCCGAGAGGGTGCAGCAATGCTGAATGTGAGGATGACCAGTGTCTAGTCACCTAGTCAGAGGAACAAGCTCAAGAATATGTGAGCTGTGAGCCTGCACAAGAACGAGATTTTGCGAAAGATGTCGTGCGCATGAGACATTTTTCGTCGCGACAAGTGTATTCTACAATGCCCTACTGCCATCCTCATTTGCCGAATTCAAGCGCTCTACAAGCGACCTCGAAAGGCTGACGGAAGCACGCGTGGACAGCCATCCCGACAGGAAGAGGCTGCCGGGGCCCGTGCCAGAAGTTTTGGATTCAGGGCTCCACACGCTTTGATGCTAGCATTCGTGTGAATACCAAAGATAGTACTAGTTACTAGTAGTATTCATTTGCTTCGCAGTGCGTCTTCGCACTCCGGTCACTACTATACGCAGGCCCCCTGGCTTTCTCGCAGGTCTGGGGGTAGTAAGCTTGGAGAGTGATTCGCTGCTTTCGACACTGCCCCGAAACATCACGCTTCTCCCATCATCCACTACTCGCACGATATCACATTAAGATTCGGAGGGCACAGGACCTCTTCGGACATCTGAGGCAGCAGGTGATTGGGCGATGCTGCACTAAATCCCAAAGTAGGCGAAGCCTGCTCCAGGGCAGAGAGAGACAACGCGGACATTCAGACCCCTCCGGACATGATGCGGAAGGTTGTTCAGAGACTCTGCCTGGATTCGGGTGAACTGATGTCAGTTCACGTCAACCACGATGGGCTGATATGTGTAATTGCTTGTGACTTGCAAAATCCTGTAACACCCAAGACGCCAAAGAGGCCCTGGCTTTACGGAGTGTCTTACGTAGTTTTGCATTGCCCGGGAAAGGATCGCTGCGACCTACGTGAACTCGGCACGCCTGCAAGACCACATGTTTGCCGACATACTTGACGCCAAGTCATCGGTGGAGAAGGAGAGGCTCGTAGGGTTCCTTTCAATCTGAACGTGTCATGCTCCGTTTCTTGTGGGATCCATCCCTTCGGGGACGCCAGGTTCCACGTGAGAGGATGGCTGCTGTCGGGTCGGGAGGTAGACTTCGAGATTGCGGCCACCGCCAGCTTGGAAGACTTGCACGCCCGTTTTGAGGAGCTCCTCGGCCACCAGTGTCACCTCGTGTTATCTGGAGACGGAGAAGTGGGCACAAACCTCTCAGCCCTGGATTCTACCAACTCGCTGCGTGACATTCTGGCGGAGACGGTCCATGCCTGGAGCGCCGATCTCGCTTGGCACCGTGCCATTTGCGAGATTTTGGCAGCCCAGCTTCTGCGGCCAACTTTGCATCATGCCGCCGCTAACACACAGCTCCACGGACTCCAGGCTTTGTGTGTCCCGCGCGTATGGGAGACGGTCTTCGCTATGCTTTCGCAACGTGGAGATTCAGAGTTCGAGGCACGCTGTGCCTTCCGGCTGACAGTGGAGCGGTGGCTGGAGCACATGACATTCCGTTGTGCAGCACGCAAGAAGATCCATCTGGCTCGTGCTCACCGCTTGCGCTACACGGCCATGTACTCTGACGAAGTCAGCCGAGATGCTGACATGGCAGCCCTTGAGTTGGAGAAGCTTCTGAAGGATGAGGCGACGCTGAGCCCGATGCAGCCCATGTTTGCAATAACGGCTGCTGTGCAAACGCTCTTGTTGAAAGCTAGCCCCTCGCAGTTGGAAGAGGGCCGATTGTTTTTTGCCGAAGTCCTCGTACCGAAGCATCGTCGCCGCGACCGGATACACTGGAGAGCAGCTCGACTCTTCGAGTCGCTGGGAGACGTGCGCGAGGCGGCAAAGGACTTCCAAAGCTCCTCCGAGGCCGCGTTCCAAGTGGTGGCCGCATGGAGAGACGTTTCCCACATGCTGGGCACCCTGTCCCATATGTCATCATATGTTTCATGAGACCCATTTGAGGAGCCAGCCCTCTTGTACGATAAGAGTTCAGGGTTTGAGGCTGCTTCGCCTGCAGACCAAGGCAACACAGCAGTTGAAGCTTTGTCCATGGTGCAGCGGCAACTCGTCACTGGCTTTGAGAGGTGAGTGAGTGAGAACTTCGGGGCAGCATGCGTCACTTGCTGATGTTGCAACCGAAAACTCAACAGCATTGCAGCGCTGCTGCGTGCGCGATTGAGCGGCTGCGGGCCAACCGCACACGTGGAGAAGCGCTGTATCCCTGCGTGGCTTGTCATCTTACGGGGGATTTTCCCGTATCCGTTCAGTGGCGGACACGAGTCATTTCTGCGTGCTCCGTTCTCAAACATAATCAACATATCTATACACATCCCCGTGTTACATATCATCGCTAAGACCTACGCTGCTGCAGCGTGCTTGGAATCCCGGTCTGAGAGGAGGCTGCATTTTTGACGCTGCGCTTGGACGGCTTGCTTTGACCTTTCTTGCTGTCTGCCGCGACATGGGCAAAGCACTTGGAGAGGTAGCTGGCCGTCGTCAGGTCGTTGACTCGGGTGTGTTACGGTATGCTGTGTTTCTGAGCATGCTGCCGCGATGGGCGCTTGGGGTCTGTTGCTTGAATTTTCCGTTGTTATGCCCACCTCGATCCTCGGTAGACAAAACATCGCAAGCGGAACGGCTCACGAACGGTTTCTCGTATCCGATCACTCGCGAAAAGGAATTACACTTCCTCCAAGATGCTTGCGTGCCCTCTTCTCATCATACGCCTCCTTCCATCCGGTTGAGAGAAGGTGAGGCTAGTGTCTCTGATTGGCCAATGTTGGACACCAGAATCGGTGCTACGAGCAAGATAAACAAGGCGCCCCACACCGAAACCTGTCAACCAGGCTCGAGCTTTCGGGGACCTAGGCAGTTGAGTTTGAGAGAAGCTGGTTGAAATGCGGTCGAAGTTTTCGCTGAGTTGAAAGCTTGTGAGTATTTCGAAGTATTGAGATGGAGTCAAAAGACTTGCATTGACTGCTTGGTTCTTTATGTTCTTTTAATTTTATGTCGCATTCTCATGGCTCCGGCTTTGTAACTGTATCCTGCTCAGGCAAGCCCGTGCTAGTGCTCGCCGGGCAGCGCTTTGCTGGGTCCACGTTGCTTCGGACGCTTGGCCTATCTTGGCATCGGTCAGCATGCCGCAATGGCGGAAGCTGCAGTGCTCGACGCCACTAAGTCGGACAAGCCTTTTTGAGATTCCATGTAGTTCACGAAGTTCACGACTTACACGTTACGTACAAGAATTTACAGGAGATGGCAGCAAGCCGAGCAGAGACCGAGCCGGACAGGACTACGCGGGACTCGTGTGAGACTCTGAAATTCAAGTTCAAAAGCCTACATGAAGCTTGGAGATGTAGGTTTCAGCTTGTCGAATGACTCGGCCTCACGGACAGGAACGGGATTGACTCCCGAAGCTCCCACATCATGCTTGTACTCTCGCCTCCTAATCCTCGTTTTCAGGGTTCGCAGCAGTGTGGAAATGCCCTAGCATGGAACTTAACATGGCGGGACACTACTCTATCCGAGCCCATGGCCGTAATGCATAAACATGACCTCCTCGCTTCGCAACCTTGCAGGACCTCCATGAAGGCGGCAGAGCGGCAGTTCATAAATGGAGGATGCGTGTCTCTGCTGTTCTTTGACACACAGACAGCATGACAAATAATTGGAACAACCAACGCGAGGTCAAAAGCACGAATGCCAACACAACTGCAGTGACATCAAATTTGATTTGGCTAATCCCCTATTTGTTGGCCGTACCTGGGACATGTGTTGTTGCTTTTGCCATCTCGTTTGCTCCGAGATCCCTCTCGCTCACTTTCTCTCTCTCTCTCTCTCTTCCGTGCTCGTGCAGGCCTCTCGTCTCTGCGTGTCTCGCACCTCTCACAGTTGCGACGACCGGATGCAAACGCCCTTGGCAGAGGTTGTTGATGCGGTTCTCTGTGCTGCAGCCAGCTTCTCTCCCGAACAGCTCTTTGAGCCACTGGGCCAGCACCCTGGGCAGCGCCAAAGCTCAAGGCATGTCATTCATCACCCGGTTCAACGTTGAAATTCTACAAATTTAGGGATTGCAGGGATTTAGGCTGATCTACACTCGGCGACCGAAAGGCCCCGATGAGATGTCTGAAATTAAAAGCCTGAACCTGGAGCTCACACAAAATTCCGGATCTCTACAAGTAGATCCGAGGATGGCGGCTGCTTCTCCGCAAGAGTCTCTGCGGAGAGGGCTCCTCGTGCCTCAGCTCGAACTCTGAGGTTTCCATACTGCTGTCATTCATATCCTCCAACTTTTCCACCCACATGAGACGGGTTCCAGGCACTCCGGTGTTGACCCTGCCAGGTTTATGGCGCACTGCTTTGGCACGAGGGCTAAAGCTTTAAGACCGCCCACACGGCGCAGATCTTGGCGAAGATGCATTATGACCATCCGGTGGGTGCCTCCTTCGCGGCATGTGAGTGCTGCCTGATGGTTTTCGGCTACAGTGTGGCGAGCCCGAGCTGATTCTACTGGTTCTTCCACATCCGAGCTGGAGCAGGAGGCTACAAGTAAGAAGATGGAGCAAACTTTTTGTTTGATCCAACTTCTGTGACTGCACACGAACACAGCAGATGCCCGATAGAAGCCCTCTGGTTCCCCACGGGCTTGGCACGTCAAGGGCAGCGGCAATTCTTTGTAACCCAAGAGCGCCAGAGGCCACCTCGCGGTGATGCGGACTAAACACCAAGCTGAAAAGTTGAACCACATGATATTTGGGGTTTCGACAAGATCTCCCAATCCAAGTTCAGAATGCAAAAGCCCCAAGGTGCCACCGAGCACTCAATGACTGGAATGTCATAAGATAGGCACTCAGTGGGATGTTTCCTGTCGTATTCCAGCAGTATCGGTGTGATAACTTCTTGGCGATATCATCCCTCTTTCACGAAGGAAAGCGTCAGTTCTAGCCGCACAGATCTCTTGGCATGTGAAAAAACCATAGTCCAGCGGCGTTGGCAGTATGCGGTGCAGAGAAGCCTCCTGAATGAGGGCCGACGCCTGAGGAAACCAAGACATACAGGGCGTGGTTTGCAGGCATGCTGCAAGTCTCGCTGTGGGGTGATCCGCAGGAAGAAACACAATCTTGGCCAACGTCATGACCACTTTGAGGAGCAAGCAAGTTCCACATCTCATACGCTGGGCCACAACCAAATGGTGTTGAAGCTCTCGCTGGTATCTACAACCAAGGATCGCTTGGCCCCAGCGCCACTGCAGCTAATTCATCTGCCCAACACCCCAGGTACCAGAGCAATGCAAGCTGCAAGAGACATAATCACTGGGTGTAACCCTGATGATGACGACCTGGGAAACCAACAGCGGGAACTGAACCCCCCCCCCTTTCAGCCGTATGAAACAAATCTACGAACATGGACCACGCTGTTGCCAAACTTGTGCGCAACAAGGGCTCGAAGGTCAAGAATTGATTAACACCACGCGAATGGTTTTTTTTGCGAAACAAGTTGGCAATCCAAAGAGTATGCATCATACAGCGGACTATTCAGAAACATGATAAAAGATATCTTATTTTATGACATAATGATGACACCGAATATAAATTTCTATATCGACCTCAAGAGAATCTTTTTTATTCCAAAAATCTTTTGATTTTTTCGTATTTTAGATCTATTTATCTCTTTATATTTTATTTGAATAATGAAAAAATTGAACTAGATTTTTCGAGATTTATTCGATTATATACTTATTGAATAATTTCATTTTTTTCTAAATTATTTATATTATTTTGATGATCTGTTATAATCGGAGATTTATATTTTTAGTTTAAATGATATTTATATATATGAAGAAATGTCTCCAGCAAAAAAAAAGATGAATAAGTCTGATAAGATAAGATATTATATTTGATTAGCCAAAAGGACGAGGAGATATATAATAATGTGTAAATTAATAGATTTGATTTACTAATGGCAAATCTATTATATATAATGTATTGAGCATTTGTTAGAAATTCCGAGCAGGTTCGTGTATACATATGAAGTTCCGGTAATCTTCGGCTAATGCTGCCAGCCTCGATGAGCTCGAATAGATCCGGGGTCTTCTCCAGGTTCAGAGTTATGCCGAGAACCGCTAGGACCAGAAAACGAACAAGCTAAGTGACGAAAGCAAGTCGTAGGAGAGCTTCCCCAAGCCTGCCCTTTGAAGAGCATCTGTATGGTGAAGCTTCGGATAAAGAATGCGTCCTCGTATTAGAGAGGACTAGATCATCACGGATTTGTTATGATCTGATCCGCAAACAGAGCCAGGTATCGGGCCGAGCAGCCGTGGCCAAAGCCTCATTAATTGCGGTCCTGGTGCGGTCGCACGACGTCGCCGACAGCGGCTACGAGTGGTGGTTTTTACAAAACATGCATGTAGTTGGATCCCACTCGATCTTTGAAGATCTGCCAAAATCGAATTCCTATCAAACGAAAGCCAAATATGCCATAACATACACAGCCCAATCTGAACCCTCTTCACAGCCAATCTGAACCTCCACCGCCCAATCTGAACCGAGCCCCCGTAGCTCAATCTGAACCTCTTGAACGCCATTTTAAGCACCAATCCAGCTGAATCTTCTTGATTAAGCACAATATTCATTCGATAGTTCGCCGCAAAATTGGAATTTTGCTTATTTATATCGAATATGAGCACTGGAAATGTTTCGTTTTCTAGTTCTTGATTGAATTGATGGAAGTGCTTATTATATCGGGCCCCGAACATCTATTAATTTTCTTTTCTAGATTCTTCGTATTTCGGGAATTATCAATAAATCATAATGATTTTTAAATCAATTCTTTTTAAAATTCGATTAATTTTAATATAATTTCAAAAAAGATTTCGAAAAAATTTATCTAAAACATATTTTAAATATAATATAAAATTTAAACAAGAAGTAAAAATATACGAATTTTTTATT